ACGCCGCCGGTCGTGTCGCCGCAGGGCAAGGGCACCCCGCCCTCCCCCATCGTCTACACCCTGCGCAAGAAGAACTCCGGCCCGCTCGCGTCGCCGCCGTCGTCGCCCAACCTGTCCGGCGACAGACGCTACCCACGCTCGGCACTCGTCAACTCCAGCCCTGCGCGGGTACCCACATTCTCTGCATTCTTTGGTCGTTGTTGAGCTGATGGAATGTGCGATTGATGGCTGAACGCATTCCTGATCATCATCATCATCAACAACAGGAGCCGCCGGCCAATCTCTTGTCGAGTCCGTCCAAAGGCGAGGACACGGAGAACGCGCAGCTGGTGCAGCGGTTCAAGAACGCGCTGCGGAAGAACGTCGAACAGATCGAAGCCCAGGTGAAGGTGTGGGAAACGCAGATCTTCAGCCCCGAACTCCGAGCCAAGATGAGCGGCACCGAGATGAAGAAAAAGAGCGATACCGTCCTCTCTATGCACAAGGTGCTCCTCCCCTCCACCTTCATTCTTTTTAGCTCCGACTCACTCGCGCCCCCTGTTCACCCTCAATTTTAACTCCGATCAATGCGCAGACTCTGCGCCAGTATCCGCTGTCCAAGCAGTTCCCCCAGTTTCCCGTCTATCTGGTCGAACAGAACCGACCGGGAGGCAGCAACGCCGGCCTGTCCGTTCGAGTACGTGCCCGCCCCTGCTTGTGGGCCGACACTCCGGTCATTCGACGCGTCAATTTGTCAACGGCCGAACTTGTCGCTTACCTTCAATTTTGTTTGCGCTGGACACAGGCTGTGGCGATGCTGCACCACTCGCGAGAGCTGGAGCCCATTTTCTGGGAGTTCTTCGCCAAGTGCACATTCCTCAAGGAAAAGACCGAGCGAATCGAGAGCCTCCCCGACTGCATCGCGCTCGGCAAGGTCATCAAGGCCCTCAAAGAGGAACTCAAGGTCCGCCTTCCGTCTCGATAACATTTACTTTTTAATATATTAACATCTTATTTATATTTGTTTTTGTTCTGACAATTGCGATTTGCAGAGTTGCGAGGGAACGCCGGTGAGGCAACAGAGGGTCAGCAGCACCAGCAGCACGGAGAGCATTTCCGACCTGCAGAGCGCGCACCTGTCCCACCAGACTGTCAGGACGCGCCGGCCGTCATCGCTGGGCAGCGCCGACAGCCGAGCCGAGGTGATCGTCGCGCCCGACTCGTCGTCGTCGCAGGAAGTGGTCTCGGTGACGGAGGACCAGGGCGGCAGCGAGCAGCACCGCCCCCAAAGCTATCACCGCCACAGCCGAGAAAAGCGAAACGAAGGCCAGGAGAGCGAAAGCGACGCGAAGGAAAGCGAAAGCGAAATCGGAGGAGCCTCGCTGGGCGGTCGGCCGTCGCTGACGCTGTCGGCCCCTATCTCGATCCCGATCTCGCCTCGCTACCAGACCCGCGCCGCCGTCGGCGATGTCAACAACCACAGTGTCGACGAGAATGTCGCGGGTGACCGCGGGCTTCCCGATGACGAGGGGGAGGGCCACTACGACGACGGCGCCGCCAAGGAGTACCTGACCATGTCATCGCCCGTGGCGGCTTCGCCCGTGCTGCACTCGGTGTCGCTGCCGGCGTCGCCCTCGTCTCCGCTGCGCAAGTCCGCCGGCAAGCGGGGCGAAGTGGAGCTGTTCGGGCGGGACGGCGGGTTCGTGGTGCGACGCAAGGGCGGACCCGACGGCACCAAGAAGCGCGGGTACCTCGTCAAGCTGAGCGGTATCCGCTTCGCCAAGTCCAAGAAGCGCTGGTTCGGATTCCAGGGCGGATACCTCGTCTATTGGCGCCTGCAGGAGGTCGGTTGCCCTTGATCTGTATGTGTCGGCGCTTGCAGTCACTCACCTACCCTGTGTGTGTGTGTTGTTGTTGTTGTGTTGTGTGTTGTGTGTGTGTCGCGTGTATCGTGTCGCGTGTGCGAACAGAACGAAGATGACTTCCCGTTGGGCGAGTATGATATGCGGATGTGTTCGGTGAAGGAGGCCAAGCTGCCGAACAAGACCAACACGTTCGCGCTCATCACGCCCAAGCGCAACATCTATCTGCAGGCCTCCACCTACAAGGACATGCTCATGTGGATGAACGCCATGAACGACGCCAAGAAGGTGCGCACGACGTTAATTTAATATGATCATCGTTGTTGTATTTATTGTTGCAGGCGTGTGACCTGACTTCACGTTTCGCTCTGCAGCCGAGTATCGGGCTCGATGAAGGTGACGACGAGATCGATGAAATGACGAAGATGATTCCCCGAGAGGTTCGTTCTGTTACCGCACAGGGCGCGCGCACACACACTCACTAAAACCCCGCCGTGTGCTTACGTAGGCCAAGACGTGCGGCTCCCTGATGATGCTTAGCGAGCGACAGTCGACGCTGGCGATCCCGCTTTCGCCGCTCAATTTGCTCGCGGGCAATCAGAAGTGGTCCAAGCGGTGGTTCGTCATCGAGGACGGATTTTTGACCTACTACAAGAAGAAACAGGTCCCTACGCTCCGCTTCTCTGTGTTTTGCTTTCATCGCAGTGACTCACCCACCACTGCACACGCACAACACAAAACCGCACACGCACCACCGCACGCACAGGACACGGAGTTCGCGGGATTGCCGATCGATCTCCTGTTCTGTTCGGTGAAGGAGCTGGAGGTGCCGGGGCAGAAGCACTGCTTCCAGCTGGTGGGGAAGGACGACGTGGCCATCCTCTTGCACAGCGAGAGCGAAAACGAGATGCTCGAATGGATCGGATCGCTTAGGTCCGTTCTAACTCCTATTTCACACACACACACACACACCACACCAGTGGCGTGGTGCAGTCGTGTTGTTGGTCGATTGACTGATCGCCGTTGCGCATGTACAGAGATGCGATCACGAGTCTTCGGGCGAACGTGATGAACGATTCGGCGCACTCGCCCCAACTCCGAAACCTTCCCAGCGGCAAGTCCAAGGACGAGAAGGGTAACGCTCCTCTCACCATTGCTTTATGTCCGAACCAACCGCGCTGCGGAGCTGTAACGTTTCTTCTTCATTCTTCGTTCTTCTTCATCTATCGGTCGCTTCGCTGCAGAGAGCAAGCGAGACAACAAGGAGGAGTCGACAGCGACGACCTCAAGCGATGACACCCAGGCGCGGGAGGTCAGGATCGTCGCCAGTGGAGGCGGCGGTGGCGGAGACAAGCCGCCGCTGTCCGAGAGCGAAGACGGGAAGGAGATCATCCTGCAGGGCTTCCTCAAGAAGCAAACCCACAGCCGATTCACCAAGTACAAGAAGCGGTGGTGCATGCTCAGCGCCGACAGCCTCACCTATTACGAAAACAAGGTACGCCACGTCATTAAGTTTATCTATTTTTCAAATCAAATAGAATAATAGATAAAATAGAATTATGTTATTATTATTTAGTGGGAATGGAATGATGATTTCTTATTTTCTTTGTTTTTTTTTGGGCAGCCAACGGCCGAGGAGAAGAGGATGCAGCCATCGGGCTCGATCCAGATTCTGTTCGCGATGGCCCACGAGCTGCCGCTGCGAGAGCGAAGCGGGAAGGAGATCGCGTACCCGTTCGAGGTGCTGACGGCCAACCGCAACTTCGTGTTCGTCGTCGACTCGGAGGAGGTGCGGAGCGAGTGGGTCAACGCCATCAAGGACCTCAACGCCAAGCTCATGAAGACGCAGCTCCAGCACACCCTCAAGGGTCGACAGCGAAGCATTGCATCGATGCTGGCCAAGGTGACCCCTGCTCCCGCATACTTTGCATTCATCATCATTCGTGTGCTCAATCACTGAATGGCCAATCGCACACGCAACGCACGCACTACTCCTCAGTCGGGCTCGAAGTTGAATGTGCGAGCGCTGAACGTTCCCGAGGACGAGGATTCGCTCGAAGGCCGGGAGTACCGCAAAAATCTCCTGTTCGACATCGCCAAGCGACCCGGCAACAACGTGTGCGCTGACTGCGGGCAAGAAGGTACACACCGCACAGCGCACAGCGCGGTATTGACTGTGGGGAAATGCGCAGATCCGGATTGGGCATCGATCAACCTGGGCATCACGCTGTGCATTGAATGCGCGGGCGTGCACCGCAGCCTTGGCGCCCACATCACCAAGGTCAGATCGCTCGACCTCGACGATTGGGAGATTCACGACATCCGGGTACGGTTCTCGCTGAACGTCGGCTGCGCGCGATGATGCGCCAGTGATGTATACACTGAAACCTTTGCAACTCACTCTCTACGCACAATCGCACACACACACGCACGCACACATTTGACAGTTCTTGGAGCAAACGGGCAACGAGCTGGCCAATCAAAGGTGGCTGCAGCTGATGCCTCCGTCAACCGAACCGCTCACGCCCTCGACCGACGTGTACGTGGATCTCTCTCTCTCTCTCTCGTACCTTCTTTTTTGCTGAGCTCTAACTATTATGGGTATTGTGACCATTGCTGCAGCAAAACGAGGGAAGAATTCATAAAGAGGAAATACACGCCGGCGGCCCAACCTGTCGCACCTCAGACGACACCGACCGCTTCGACCACGAGCGGGTCGTTCGAGCCCATCCAATGACGTATCACACACTTCCAATGCCCGCACGAGTGCCCCCCCCCCGCGTGCTCTTACGTTCATGTAAACTAAATCACCACCTCTTGCTCTCCTTCGCTTTCGCTTTCATTTTCATTTTTTTTGTGTTTTTCGCCGTTGAATTTGGCGCGAAAGGTGAGCGTTGCGTTTAAAGTCGTTAAAAACGTTGGGTTGTCTCCACTCGACCCAACGGTTCATCTTTCGAGAGATTTTCAGATTGATCAACATCTCTCGGCCGCAGCTCCCAACCACGATCCATCAAATTGTATTCAAAAGATTAAACATGGAAACAAAGACAGCAGTTGCGTCAGCCACGACAGCAAGTCAGCGAGCGAGGTTGATGGCCAAGAAACGTTCGAGCCTGCCCGCGAGCGTACTCCGCTCCGGGCCTTCGAAGGCCGAAGGGTCCGCCCCCGCTGCCTCCGCCGCTTCGTCTGGGCTGACGGCCAGCACCACCGCCGTCCCAACGGCCTCCCGACGACCGCGGGCCAGTATCTCGACTGCGGCGCACGCCTCGTGCCACCTGGTCGGGGTCTCGCCAACGGCGCGCCGCAGCTCCAGCAAGCTCAACACATCCACTTCCTCCTCCACCTCCTCATCATTGAACACATCCACATCATCTCTGAACACATCCTCATCTACCGATACCGCCGGATTGCCGCTAGAGAAAGAAAACGCGTCCACCTCGTCCCGCCTCAACAACGTCGGGGGATCGTCGACCACCACGACCACGACCACCACGGCCGCCGCCAAGACCACGGCTGCCGTCACCAAGGCTCAGGCGACCGCACCCACGGCCCAGGCCAAGCCGTCGATCATGCGTCGCAGCCTGGCGGGCATCAGCCGTCTCGCCACCGCCTCCTCGCGCCCTGCCGGGCGGGCCAGCGTAAGCTCGGCCTCAGCCGCGGACCCTGCCGCCAGCCAGCCGCCACGATCCACCGCCAAGCCCTCGCGATCCACCACTCGGCTCAGCCCGCGCTCGAGCCCGGCCGAGCCCAACACTTCGGCCACGTCGGCCGAGCTGAGCACCGACGACTCGTTTGTTGCAGACCAGTGCCAGCTGGGCGGTGTCACCGAGGCGGTGGAGGCAGAGGCAGAGTCGGAGGCGACGTTGAAGCAGAGGCTGGCGGAGCTGGAGCGGCGGGAGAAGGAAGTGGCCAAGGCCGAGCAGGACCTGGCGTGGAACAGGACCAACCACTACGTGATCGCACGCGACCTCGAGGAGCAGCTGGTCACATTTGAGCATCAGGTGCTCGAGGTGAGGGAGAAGAGCGAGCGGCTCGAGGCCGAGCTGCGGCAGCTGGAGAGCGAGCGAAGGGAGGTGGAGGCGGAGCGCGTTCGGCTCGAGCGGGACCGGCTGCAGGTGGAGGCCGACCGACACTTCCTGCGTGTCCAGCGCGCCCACCTGTGCGACCGGTTCGAGGAGGTGCTGGCTCGAGTTGCCCGCGCAGCTGCGATCTGATCACACATATTTTCCTGCTACAATATAACACAAACATATTCAACAATGTTGCACATTCGACAACGACACTGCACATCTTGCCCTGTCAAGTTGACGAGGCAACAGTACTATTGGATGTGGGGTCGAACATAGTGTCTCATATACCCATGTTGTGTCCACACCGTTGATACCGGGCCGAGACCCCGACCGCCAACCGCCCGGGCGATCAAGCTTCCCACCAACGAAAGAAAGGAGCGACGGCTCATTCGTTTGCTCGTCGTTGGGTGCTTCTTCTCGGCGCAACCATTTTCATTTTCATTTTTTCACCAACACCAACAACCAGCACAGACTACACAGCATGTTGACGTCGAGGAGGTCGTGCTACTTCGTAGTGGCAGCCCTGCTAGCTCTGCTCCACGGCCCGGGCGTGCACGCCGCCAAGGGCATCTACCGCGGAGTCGCCACCGACAAGTGGGCCGGAGGCTGCGAGGACATCAAGGCCCTCTCCCGCATGTCCTGGTACTACGGCTGGGCTCTCGAGGTACTCTACGCCCAAGTGAAATAAAACAAAACAAAACACAACCTAACCTTCGCCCACGTGTCGTGACGCCGGCGGCATTTTGGTGGTCACGTGCCGCAGCCCAACATCGACCTGAGCCAGTGCGACCTGGGCGACCGCTACGTCGAGTTCGTACCGATGATTTGGGGTGCTGACTCCGTTGATGGCTTTGTGGCCAAGGTGCGGCCTTACGTCCTACATCTCTTTTTTGCTCCGAGCCAACCTCACCGCGTTTGGTGTGTTGGTCACTCAGCTGCCCAAGAACACGAAGCACTTGCTGGGCTTCAACGAACCCAACATTCCGGGGCAGGCCGTCATGACGCCCCTGGTGCGTCCTCCTCCGCGGTTCAGTCAAGCTGTGCTCTGCCCGATCAGGATCTCGACTCACCTTTTTCTGTGGGTGCTCGTCGAGCACAGGAAGCCGCGACCCAGTGGAAGAAGGTGATCGCCCAGCTCAAGGAGGCGGACCTCCTGGGCAAGATCAGGCTCGGCACCCCCTCGGCCTCGCCCGGTGGCAACCCCTTGGACCCCGTCACTTGGTACCGACTTGCCGATCAGCGGCGTGTGCGTGTGCGTGTGCGTGTGCGTAGCTGATGATAGTGATGCGACGTACCAGGTTCACGCAGTTCTTCGGCAACTGCACGGATTGCCACTTCGACTTCCTGTGCTTCCACGCCTACGAGTGCAACGTGGGCGGCCTCAACTACTGGGTGGGCCAGATGCAGACCTTTGGCCTGCCCATCTGGCTCACCGAGTTCGCGTGCCCGTCCGACAGCGGTTCGGTGACGATCGACGACGAAGTCAACTACATGCAGAACGCCCTCTGGTCGCTCGACAACAACACCCAAATTGAACGGTACCACCGCACACGACACACGATATAAGACACACACAACACGCACGACACACATACACACGATGCTGATGAAAGTAATGGAATGTAAGGTACTCGTGGTTCACGGCGAGGGCGACGAACGTGGGCACGCTGCCGTCGCTGTTCAACGCCGGGGCGGGCAGCCTCACTCGCGTGGGTACTCTCTACAACAGCAAGGGTGACGCTCTCTCGGCCGACTCGACCCCGTCCGCCGCCTCCGCCCTGGCCCCTGGCTCTGCCGCCGCCGCCCTGATGGCCCACCTCAGCTCCCTCCTGGCCTGATCTGGTCTTGCTGGGCTGGTGCAGTATTGTAATAACACGATTACTCCCGTTTATCGCTGCTGGGCACTCGATTGTCATCGTCGTGCCGATCTCGGCTGCTGTGTCTGCGCTTGCGCCGTTCGCGATCGCGTCGTGGCGGTGATGGTGATGATGGCGAACGCCGGCGGTTGTGTTGGTGTGGTCCCCTCTCGCCCGATCGCTCGCGTTGCCTTCGTTGCCGGCGGCGTTCTTCCCACTCGCGCCTCTCGCACTCGCGTCTCTCCCGTCGCTCTTGCTCTTCCCTCTCCCACTCCTTCTCCAGCAGGAAATAGCTCCCGTGGTGCCAGATCTCGTCCCTACCCCAAGGCCATTTGTTAAGCTCTCATTATAATAATTAATCAATGAAAGCGTACCCGACTTGGTACTTGCTGGAGGAGGTCTTGTCGTAGAAGGACTCAGACATCAATTTCTTTTTTGTAAATAAAATCAGTTCCTGAAACAGGTAGATGGAAAATTGGAGGAGCAGCCTACCTTCAGTGCTGCCGCACGGGCCTTTTTTCGTCGCCTCTTACGGGATGAAGAGGAAGAGGAAGATGAGGAGGAATCATCGCTATCGCTCGACGAAGATGAGGACCTTTTCTTCTTTTGCTTACGTTTCCTCTCCTTTCGGTTCCGCTTCTTCTCCCTCCGCTTTATCCGTTCGGCTTCAGAATCACTACCATCTGCAAGACAGCGGTGCGTTGCCTGCTCTTCATCCATGTTAAAATTCCCTGGGTCTCCAGCCCTTTTTTTAAATCAAATACAAAATAAATTTATAATATATAATATTATTCCGGCATCAGGACCATTGGTTGCCAACTTTATGCTCATTTCAAGTTTTATTTTGTTTCTTGGACCAGTGTTGTAAGCTTTGAAAATAACTTGATAAAAAACACAATAGTGCCCCAATAAACAAGTTCATAATCAATATTGCTCCTGCATTACAACATATCATAAATTAGGGAACCAAGATGGCAAGAAGCACTTGCAACATGCCAACTAACCCAAAGCAGGACGGCAACAGCCTACTTGGCGCTGGTGATTTCTATTTCTTTATTTGGTCTGGATTTTCTTCGAAAACAAAGAAAAAAGAGTCAAATTCAGCTGTTCCAGGAATCCGTCACACTGGCAGTACGCGTTGGCGGGAAAAACCGCATTTGGCGGGAACAGGAAGTAGCCGCGATAGATACAACAGCGACCGGCCAACATGGTGCATATCAAAAAGGTCGTAATTCAGGGGTTCAAGAGCTACAAAGAGCTATTGGACTTGGAGCCTTTCAGTAAGGGCAGTAATGTCATCGGTACGCCCCGGCCGCTACTCGCCCCATACAAACGAATTAATGATTGACACGAAGCTTTCACTGTTGCTCGCCAGTGGGGCGCAACGGCTCGGGCAAGTCCAATTTCTTTTTCGGTACGCCATCATCGAACGATTATTCGTCTTTTTAATTTTAATCTCACCAGGCATCATTCCCTTTCAGCCATCCGTTTCGTGCTCAGCGATCTTTTCTCGAATCTTCGCGCTGATGAGAGGCAGGCCCTGCTTCATGTACGTAGTCCTCACTGCCTAACCGCGCTTTTAGCTAAACAATTTTGCCTTTCAGGAAGGCGCTGGCTCAAACGTGATGTCGGCCTATGTCGAAATTCACTTCGACAATGCTGATCGACGCTTCCTGTGCGAGATTGCTGTTTATTTTTTAATACTTATTTGTTATTTATTTCACATCATTCGCTCCACCTTCACCGCCGGTGGCGTGTTTAACACCAGCTCACAACACTTCCGTCTTCTCTTTCCAGATTGATCGAGATGAGGTGGTTTTGCGACGACAGATTGGTCTCAAGAAGGACGAGTACTCACTGGACAAGAAACACGTCAGGTACGCATCTTCTCTTTCGACCTTCCTCGCTTTCCCTCACCCTCTCTTCCTCTGTGCTGTTGTGGCATCACAGCAAGCAAGACGTAGTGAACCTGCTCGAGAGTGCTGGCTTCTCGCGATCCAATCCGTACTACATTGTCCAGCAGGGCAAGGTCAACGCGTTGACAATGATGAAGGATTCCGAGCGTCTCGAGTTGCTCAAGGAAGTGGCCGGCACCCGAGTGTACGACGAGAGGAGGGACGAGAGTTTGAAGATCATGAAGGAAGCAGGCGCGTTCTTCTTCCTCTTCTTCTTCGGTCAAGCTGGTGCTGACCCTTGTTCTTTACACAGCTGGGCGGAGGGAGAAGATCGAAGAAATGTTGCGCTACATTGAAACGCGACTGAAGGAGCTCGAAGACGAAAAGGAGGAGCTCAAGGCCTACCAGGAGCTCGACCGCGAGCGCAGGGCACTCGAGTACACTCTTTACACCAAGGAACTCCAGAGCACCAACGAAACCCTCAGAAGGGTACTTACTTGCCATTGACCCACCGATCACTGCAACGTCGCCGACTCACACTTTCTTCTTCTTCTTCTTCTTCTCTATCTCTCGCGTAGCTCGGCACAGACCGACAGGAGGAGTCGTCGCGCGCCAAGGAGGAATACCAAAACGCGTTGCTCGTGCACAAGGCGCTCAAGGCCAAGGAGCGGGAGCTGAAGGACGCCGAGATCGAGATGCGACGCCTGAACAAGGAGAAGAGCGT